GCGGGGCAGGGCAGGGCAGAGGAAGGTGTGGAGCTGGGTGTTGCTTTGCGTGTGTGGTGTGTTGACACCAGCAAGCAACTAAGTGCGTATCCAGCTGGTTGCTCATTCTCCCTCCTGCAGAGGGAATCAGAAGAGCAAAAGGGAGAAAAACTCATGTATTGGATAAAGATGGTTTAACAAGTGAAGGAAAGAGACAAAAACAAGTGATGCGAAGGCAGACAGTCACTCACCACCTCCCATGAGCAGACTGATGCCCAACCAGCCTCTGAGTAGCAGCTACTTTGGAAAGACTGCGCTCCCCAGCTTTTATTGTTGAGCATGACGTTATGTGGCATGGACTAGCCCTTTGGCTAGTTCGGGTCGTCTGTCCTGGCTGTGTCCCCTCCCAGCCTCTTGCCCACCCCAGCCTACTTGCTGGGGGTGCACAGTGAGAACCAGAGAAAGCCTTGAGGCTGTGTAAGCACTGTTCAGCAACAGCCAAAACTGGTGTGTTACCAATGCTGTCACCAGTTAAGTCCAAAGCCACAGCACTATACGGACTGCCATAAAGAACATAAACCAGCCAGACCTTGTAGAGCATGTAATAATTGAGTAGACATTAGTGATACCATTGCCTCATTATTGTTATCTTAAAAGAAGCAACTACTCCTTTACAGTCTTTTTTTTTTTTTTTTTTTGTTAAATAATGGTGTTTCACTTCTTTTTTAATTGCAAGTACAAAAACTGTACCTTTTAGCTTTTGGTTACCACATGTAGTAAGTGCAATGCTAATTGTAACTGAACAGAGCTGCAAATTTTGGGAAACTAGATTGTGTACGGAAGTGGTTTGCTTATTCAGGTTCAAAGAATTCCATTATTATGATAGAAAAGATAATTGTTTTCGTCATGGAAGCGAACTAAGCAAAGAAACTATTTAGCTGATATTTTCTTTTGCATGTGTGTTCTGTTTTAGTACTGTTAAACCCGACTGTGCATCATCTTTGATATTTTAATTATATTTCTTAGCCAATACAATTACTGAGCTGATTTATTAGTAAAGTGGAGATTACTTAGGCCTGGAAAACCAGATAGCCTCTGCTTATTTTCTTACTTATTTCCAAGTTCTTTTAAGCTGACTCTTAACTCCTAAGCTTCTGTGAGTTTGAGATAGCGTATGACCTGTCTTCCTGTTTCCTTCAGTGAGAATTGTCTTTTTTTGTAGAGTTTTGGAGAACATTCTGGCTTTTGGAATATTTCAGGTTTGGATATGTGGGGTAGTTACCTGTTGGGAATAATTTGTAAGCTGCTGCTTTCTTTTTCTTCCTAAAGTTTCAAGTCTTGTAATACATGTACTCTTTCAGTGGTGTTGTCAGTCAGTCACACAAAGTAAATCTTCATTGACGTGAAGGTTTGGATTAATAGGTGCTGCTGGTTCAGTTCCTCATCTCTCATGCTGACAATGTACTTTTTAAGTTTTATCCCTTCTAAAACACAGAGCGAGTTTCTTCAGCCTATAAATCAAAGTGTTTTGGACAGTTATACACAGGTTAATTAAAAGTGCTGATTGGGTGCCCAAGGGATCTCCCCAGAGAAAAAGTCCATCTAGCTAGCATTTGCTGAAAATCACACTTAATGATGTGACTGCTTCAGAGTTTAATTTGAGACAAGATAAAAAGAAATCAAAACAATGTCTCTAGTCTCAAAAAGTTCAGATAATGATTCAAGCGCTAGCACTGCTTAAAAAAAAAACATGTATGAAGTAATAAACACCTCTTGCTCCCTTTACTGAAATAGTCTGCCTTGTTTTGAAAAATATAGGTTAAGGAGAAACGAGAAACTCATCTTTGAGGGTTCTGTTTCTGGTGAAGTTAATGTAAATGTTTTTTCTGAGTTTTGGGGTTTTGGATTGGGCATCTTCAAAACAGACAGAAGTAACTTTGGTAATTTCCTCAGGGCTGGGGAGATCTGGCAGTTAAAGATGACACCATCTTCAAAGTTCTCCTGTTCTTCAAATCCTACAGGGTTTAACCATATTGAGGAATGAGCGAATCCCCTCCCCCTCCCATATCATAACTGTATTCTTATGTCTCTTTTGTGTTAGATATTTTACTTTTAGAGTTAGTTGGTTTTAGTCTTTCCTAGGGTTAGAGAAAAAGAGCCAAACTTCTTTGATGCCTCTTTGCAATAATTCTTAGAGACCTTATATATTATCATAAGAACTCATACACTGACCTTTTAATATTAAAATTAAGATACAATACTATTTATTACTAGCTGTAGCTTCTCTAGGGAGACTTCATATTTTAAAACGGTACCAGTTAATTTTCCATGGAAACTCTACCATATCAGCCGTAACATCTTTAGAAGCAAAGATTGTACTGTGAGCAGGTAAGTATGGGCATATAAGTAGTTTTCAAGAGATGGAAGGCCATTTGGCGTACAGGAGAAGAATTGGGAAATGGGTGACTTTGCTGGAGCTGAGAAGTAAAAGCATGACCAAAGCCAGAAAGGAGAATTACAGAGTGGGTTTAAATTACTTTCTCTGCTCCTCTTTTCCTTGCTTTTTGTCTGTTTATACCTGCTACTGGCTCTTGACTGTTTTTTCATGCTGAGAAAATGTTCATAGATAGTGCTTTTAATTTTAATTGATCTCAAAAATAAAAGGAAACATACCTCATAAAAATTTAATTCAAGCTTTTTCGTTTCAGAGTCCTTGGCAACTTCTGACTGCAAATATATTTTTATAATATGTTGTTATCAATTATTTTGACAATAGGAGCATATGTACCAGTACAGTAGGCATATAATACTTAATTACACAGGTGAATACTACATTGTTTTTCTATGGGTTTAGTGCTGCTGGTGTTTTACAGATATACATTGAAGGACGAGCCACCTCGGAACCTTAGCGAAGAGGAGATGAACAGACTGGGAGCGAGGATTGTGAAAGCAGAACTTATGGGAGACATGGTAATGTCTTTGAAAAATTGATTGGCTGCAATTTTTCTTTAAAGCTCACAGTGATTTAGTTGTTAAAAAAAAAAAAAAAAGTATTGATTCAAGCAAATAAAGTCCTGCAAAATTTGATCAGGTAGGATTTGAAGATACTGCTTTTACTGTAACTTGTGCTTTAAATGCAGTTCATAGACTAGAATAGAGGATTCAGGTCCCCAGGTTTTGTAGGCTAGGCAGCGTATCCAAACCTAGTTATTCTCTGCCTTTTTTTATAGGATTTAAAGTCTTTTTATTAAGCAGGGAGCAGGTGAAAACTACAAAGCTGCCAGTCTGTGTTACAAGGTAGACAGTGTCTGGAGCTTTTGTTATTTCATCAACTTTGTCACAAGTAGATGCTTGTGGTCCATAGCTCTGCTGTATAAGCATACTTATTAATTATGATATGGAAACATAAAACTGGAAGGAACTGCATAGGCTATTGCATCCAGCTCTGCAATGAGAACAACGATGTAATGCTTTGTGGTCAGCTCCACAAAATGTCTGCCCTGAATGAGACTGGGTCCATGGAGCTGAGATAAACAGCTGCATGTCTAATGTTGCTTTAGGAGGCTCGTTTCAGACAGCAACCTGAAGGATCAAGAATTTCACTCTTTTGGAACACTCTAAACTCTGAAAGTATATTTTTTTTAATTACGTTAAGTATGGCTATAGTGAGTTAATTGCATTTAGTAATACTGCCTGGAAGTTTCAATAATAACGAGGTCATAGTCTGCTAGTTTTTAAGCGATGTTTTACAAGTGTTTTCTCTGAATAGCTGCTCTTAAGGAAGTACTGCTGAAATTTTTGGAAGGATATAATAAAATTTTTTAGAACTGAATCCTATCACTATGGGCCTTTGTATTGTTTTTTTTAAAGATTAATTTTTAGTGCTCCTGTTTACCTTGCCTTTTGTGACGGAATATTTGCACCAAAATCTGCATCCCTAGTATGCAGTAATAAATAAGGCATGTTATGACTACAAGTGCCAAATTAGTATTTCCTGAGAGCCATTGATTCTTTGATTTGTGGGAAGTTCTAGGATGTTTGGCATAATTTTTTATTGCTGGATTAGGACATGGTGTCGGTCTTTGTCAAAGCCCCTGTAACATTATTTAAATTTTGTTAGGAGAAAGTGTCCATTTTATAAATATTTTCTTTTCAAGCCCATTTTATTTTATGAATTCTTTTTCCACAGACTTTAGACACAGATGTGTGTATGTAGTTTTACAAAATTTGAACAAATACACCTTTTCTAGAAATTCTGTCCATTTGAAATCTTAACAACTTCAAAAGTGAATTAAAACTAACTTCAAGCAGTGTATTTTCTGCTAAGATATAATGAGTGTTATTGATTGAAATAGATGCCTCCATGTTTTAATCTGTAGTTTTCCTAGTTAATGTACAAAAATATATGCTTGTGAGGAAAAAACATGTTTATGAATGTAATTATATGATAGGTTTGTGAGGGATTGGTGTTAGTTGCTTAAGATATTATTTTAAGACATTTTCCTACAGGGGAAAATGATTGAAGCTCTCTATACACTAGTTGCTATAAAGTACTGGGGAGGGGAAAGTTTTCCAAAGACTCTCATGGAGAGCAGCAAAAATTTGTAAACTTTTTTTTTCCCTACTGCTCAGCTTCAATAGCATTGTCCAAATACAAGTTTGGGCACAAGTGTGGGTTTTTTCTTTTCAACCTGACAGTAACTGAATCAGAATAATTTGAATAAAAATATACAGGTGTTTTGTGGGGAGACTGTGATTCTTTTATTATTCTACCATTTTGTTTTGTTTTGACCAAGATCATCTAGCGGAAGCCAACATTACAATTTTACTGTTAATTTTATATATACATTTTTCTACATATGCACTCTGAATTAGCCTAGTTAAAAAACCCAAACCAACCACAGTATGAATAATAAAATGACTAATCTTTGCCTTGTTGCTCTTTAAATATTTTTTCATGGGCTTTCTCTGATCAGATTGAAAATGCAGCTTGTTTAAACAAGTTCACCCCCCCACACCAGAACAGATGGTTACGTAACAGTATGTCCTGGTGGCTGGAGCTCAAGGTTGACCATGTGGGACAAATGAATTCTGAATCTATTTTTGTTACTGACTTGCTGCTTGGTGTTGATCAAATGACTTAATTTTGGGGCCGCAAGTATAGGTATGATTGTTGGGAGTCCAATCAATGAAACTGGCAAAGTGGTCAGAATATAAATGGTTGTATTTCTTATAGGTTGATAGGTTGTCACTTGGCAATTCCTAGCAAACCAAGATATTCTAAAATGCTTGTATTTATTTAATAAACAGATGGATGAGAGAGCAGGAGCATCAAAAACAATTTACACAAGACTGTAAACAGTTCTCATTTTCCACCTCTTGTCCATTTTAATACCCAAAGTAAGGTCTTAAGTGCCAAAGTTGGACATGCGGTGTAGAGAGATGTGAAACTGCATAGCAAAAATGTCTGAGAGATATTTCCCTAGACCCATTGGGGGTGTGTGTGTGTATGTATATATAGAAACATAAATAAAAGGATATGTAGCGTAACCTGGAAAGGTTACACACTTGATGTGTTCAGGCTTCCTTATTTAACTTCCTATACATAAAGTAGTATGTATGCTTAGCTACACAAAGCATTTATTAGTATAACTAAATGATGTTTAGGCATAATTTTTCTGGTGGTTTTATGATAATATACGTTTCTATACTTTAGATGGCTCTGTTCTGAACAATTTTTTTTATCTCCAGTAAAGAATTGTGTGAATTATATTGACATGTTTTCTTTAGTCTTTTGTGTCATTAGAGTTTAAAAAAAAATCAAAACATGAAGAAATGGAATGAATAGTTAATTCTGATATATAGGTCTCTAAAAGTTTAAAATGGTTAAACTAATGGAGCACTACCACTTTCTTTGAAGGAGTTAGCTTCAAAACTTCAAGCAGAACTTGAGAACGCTCGCAAATTGAGAGAGACTCAAGGGCAGATTCCAGCAAAGTATGGCAGAGAGGTAAGGGGGAAATATTCTTCTTTTCTTTGTGCTAACACAATGGTATAATACAAAATGTCTACCCTTGTGAGTTCCATGTTGACTTCCTCTGAAGCTCAGGATCAGCTTCTTACATAATTCCAGACATAGGAGCTTGGTTTTTAGGTCTGTTCATCTCAGAATGCTTATTTTTATGTTAGAGTCCATCTGTCTTGCAGAAACAATCTTTAGTTTGTGGGAACCAGGACTGTTGACAGTCCTGCTGTTTTGGACTTTCCAAGGTTTGCCAATGCAAATAGTCCCTTACAGATACAACAGGGCTGATGTTTGTAATTCTGCAAAGGTTAGCTCTTGAACTGCATCATGCCAGAACAGTATCAACCTTTTTACAGCTTGCTGTAAAGTTGCTCAACTTCTTAGGCTTGCGGTAAATTGGCAGACTCCTCAAACCGTGGTGAAAACCTTGACGTTTATTTGAAGTTATTTGGGTTTTACTTACTGCCAGGGCTTGCTTTCCAGAGGGTGAAGGTCCTCCTGTACATTTTAGAGGCTTGCTGTCTTGTCTTGATGAATATGCCTTGCCTGTGCCTGTTTCATGGCTACTTCTAGCCTGTATTACGTGGCTTTTGAGTGTGAGCGGTCCAGCAAAGATCGCAGTTGCTCTGTCCTAAGTCCTATCCTTGTGATAGTTCCTAGGGTAGACTTAATGGTTTTACAGCTTCAAACTGATTTTGGACTACTGGGACACAAGCAGAATGTGTTGGGTGCTCCTGTGTATCAAGGGCCAGCTATATCACACTGTGTGTCTAAACAGCTGAGATGTTCAGAAACCATCTCATAACACAAGAGAGGCTGATTTGTGAAGGTGTATTTGATACTGTATGAATCAGTCTTTCTATAACAGTGACCACCCAAGTGATAGCAACTGAGTTCAGCCACATGCATTGCAAGTAAGATACCTGAAGCAGTTTCCATAGAAGTGTTTTTCCAAATGGATGTCCTATTGATCCCAAAGTTTGATAGCTTTGCCTCTGCTACCAATAACAAACATGAAGCATTTTGTTTCAGGCACGTCTGTCTCTGGTTCCTTGGAGCAGCATGGCCAATGTCATGCTGAAAGGTACTGAAACGTGGCTTTGCCTTATTTTCACTTCTGTTCGGAGAACTGGGGAGATAAATCAGGAAGCAGTGAAGGCAATTCTGAATGCATCTCCCTAGGAAGGTTTTTTTCTTCTTGATTAATTGAACGTGGATCAATTTCCCAATTCAGTTCACTGTGTGGCTGAATGAAGACTTGTACTAGTAAAGGGGGTGTGCATGGGCAGCTGGGGTTTGTACAGAGGACAGGATCAATTCTTTTGACGGTGCTGCTGGTTTGTTCTGCCTTAAAGTGATCAAGAAACTACAGACAGAAGGGACTGTAAAGTGGTAGCTTAAATCCTGGTGTTTTTATTTATTTGTTTGTAAGTGAGAATAGAGGCAAATCTAGCTTTTATGGTTTGTTTGATTTAGACAAGAATTCTACCCCAAGCAACCCCAAAAATGTGGTTTTGAAGTACAGTTTTCAAATACTGATGTTTGGTCTTTAAAAACCTTACGTTTAGTAGCTGATATATTTCACCAAGCATACAGATCCTGGTAAGACCATTTTGTTTAGTTTTCATTTTGGCCAAAGTAATCCGTAGTTTTAAGACCTGCTGTTTGTGGTGCATTTAGATGTTGCAAGTAGAGATTTCCAGCTGAAAGAAGCCAAAAAGCATGAAAGTGTACATCTTTCTGAACCTAGAATAGCAAGAAAATTGTAAAAGATACTGAAGCAGAAGAGAAGTCCATGGCTGCATCCTGAGTAAGCCCACTTGGGTAATTTTATAGCAAATATTTACCTTGAGGAAGAGGATTGTTTCTTTTTTCTTTTTCCTTTTTTTTTTTTTTTCCTTCATTGTTTTTGGTAGTTAGTGTGATGTTTCTATTAAATGAACACCCACAAATAATAACATTATAGGTTTTCTGTGTATGAAGGTATCCCACATTAAAATTCAGTACAGGCTAAAACATGTTTGGATTCTCTTGATAGTGAAAAAAACCCAGTAACTTTGTCTTAAACCATTTTTCAGCAGTATCGAAGCGTTTCTTTTATGCACTACCAGCCCTCATTTTGCATGTCTAACATTTGATTTGTTTTCAACTGCTAACCTTCCATGTGTCCAAAGTGCAGAAAAGATGAAATTTTATTAGTTGAGTTGTTCTTAAATTGTTTGTGGCTTCTGAGTAGCTTTATAAATGGAATTCTTTTGCCTGAATTGAGATATGAATTTTTCAATAAAATTTGTGTGGTTTTTTGAAGAGGTTAGTTTTTATATATACTCCTCTTGAAGGCATATGAGTAGCTGTTATCTTGCTTTTTTGGTACTTCATGAAAAATACTAGGGAGTGTTGTTTAGGGATATTGGTTCACTGAAGTTGTTTAATTTTTTCCACATTATTTTTTTTCCCGCACCTCATTTCCACATCATCTTAAATATTTAATTTCTCAATTGCACTTTTTCCTACTTCTTTTCTGTATCTAATTTTTTTGATGAAATAACTATATCTATAAATAAATACAAATATACACACATATATGAAACCTAAATAGAGGATAAGTATATTTTAATAACCTCTGAACTGGTGCGCTATTGTAAGTATTTTCCTAGTTAGTTGTGCTAGGAGAGCTAAGAAGCATTGCTATTATCAGGCTTAATGCCTGAATATGCAGTTAAGAAGATAGTTTTCTGCTCTACAGTAAGCAGAAGGACTGTGACAGGACGCCACCATGTATCAGGCTGCCATAAGTTGTGAAAGCTCCTCAGTAACAAGGCTTTGTGAAACAGAACACCAGACTAGACAGGAAGATGATTGGAGGTAAAAGGTAGATTTATTAATATTTCTTCTCTTCACACTTCTAAATATGTCAGTATCTGATAGCCTTAAGTGCATCACAGGTTATTTTATGTATTAGTAACATTAAATAAACATTTTGATCCTAATATTTCTAGTTTGAAACATGAAATTAGATTGGAACAACAGTTTAAGCACTCTAGACACCGAACAAGCCTGACTTACGGCGCGTTGGATTAGATAGCTCTCATGGGTAGAGACTTGTGTGTGTCTGTTGTAAATGGAAAGTCTGTGACTAAAAGCACTAAGTGCAAAATGCATAGGTATCTCAACTGGTTTTGTGTCCTCAGCTCCGGTGAGAGACACATCGACTTGTCTGAATGTGGCATCCTGAAAGTCCGTATACGGAATTTACCTGTGTGGTGTGTCTGTTGCACACTGTGGATGTCTCAGCTTGGGTAGAGCCCCTCTGTTGTTCACTGCAGGTTACCTTAAGTGTGTAGTCCTATAAATGTTAGTAGGATTACGGTTAAACTATCCGTTAAGTGAAATTTGGGGCCTTAATGGCTATTGTACTTAAATACTTGAGTCACGTGTATACAACTGCGATGAATGTACATGCAAAGACCCTTTTTAAAAGGATTAATTAAAATGTAGGTTGTGCTTGTTTTGTCTTTACATTTGAGCAGGAGGCAACCTTCAGAGTCTATGGAAATCAAAAAACTGGGTGAATATGCAGAAGAGGCATTTGGGCTGTATGAAGGGACAAACCATGAATTAAATATTGTAATTTCACTTGTGATAGAATTAAATGATGCTTATGTTCAGAAGTTTATGTCTAATTTGTCACGGGCATTTTAAGAAAAGCAAAGTTGTGCTTTGAGCCCTAGTGAAACTGTGTAAGAGAAGGCTGCTGTACCACAGGCTTTCTGAGTTAGGATAGGTGATGAAAATGAGTACTTACTGAATGTAAGGAGACAGCAGAAAATTGTGGAGGCTTCAGCATTTAAAAAATAACTTCCATGTGTTCATGGTTTACCTCTAAGTACAGTTTGTATTTCTGTTATCTGAAAGTGCTATACAACTCTTAATTTGAGTGCATTGGTTATGAGGATGTTACCTCTGCCATTGTCAGTACCAGTCATAACTGATGTAATTTATGCTTTTATTCTGTATTTTTACTTAACAAAATATATCTGGAATGTTAGCACTCCTCTGAAGCACATCATTTGCAGTGGTTTTTGGTGGTACAAAAATTGGGAGGTAAAATTTCAATGAGCAAGAGGCAGAATATAGAATATTTCAGTTGGAACGGACCTACAATGATCATCTAGTCCAAATTGAAAAGGCAGATTGAAAACAAGTAAGGTGATTCTTCACAGAATGGTTGCTCTGGGATGTTGTGGATGCTGGGAACTTGAATAGATTCAAGGAGAGGCTGGATAAGTTCATGAAAACTAAACCCCTTGAGGATTGTACAGAAATGATGTCTGGCTCTTAATTGCTGAGTCACAAATGCTTGGAGGCATCCTTTCTTTTTGTACTCTTCGTTAGGCATTCGCTTTTGGCTACTGCTGGAGAAGGCATGTTGGGCTTTGGTTTGATCCAGTATAGCTGCTTTTATGTTTTAATCTGCATGTAGAAAGTATTCTTTATGATGATTTTAAATAATTTATGATGTGCATTATTTGTGTGCTTTGCCTTTTCAATTTTTTATAGAATTTTTTCCATCTTTTCTCATGCTTCTTTCAGTATGGTCCCTGCATAAGAATTAGAGTAAAATCTGCTAAATGAAAAGCAGTTTGCTTTTGTGTTGCTACAAACTGACTTAATTGTGTTTATTTTTTTTAATCAGGAAGTATATTGACATGATACAAAATTAGGTAAATCTAGACTCAGTTCATGGTGGTGGATGAATGAGGTAGAAGTGTATGCATCTTTTGAAACTGTTTTCATTTCAAAATGAAGTATGGCCTGTAAGAAAAAAAGCTTCTCAACCCTAAGCCTGTTACTGTGTTCCATAGCACTTAATCAGTATGCAGGAAACAGAAAGTAGTCTCTGCTGAGCAATTGCTAGAGACAGTTCTTAATAATGATGAATTGTGTTTAAAATACAAAATCAATACAAAATTGAATGAAAGGTA